ATAGAAGTACACATAAGTAGACAGGCACGAAGAATAAACATAGAAGTACGCATAAGTAGACATGCACGAAGAATAAACATAGAAGTACGCATAAGTACAGGCACGAAGAATAAACATAGAAGTACACATAAGTAGACATGCACGAAGAATAAACATAGAAGTACGCATAAGTAGACATGCACGAAGAATAAACATAGAAGTACGCATAAGTAGACATGCACGAAGAATAAACATAGAAGTACATAAGTAGACAGGCACGAAGAATAAACATAGAAGTACATAAGTAGACAGGCACGAAGAATAAACATAGAAGTACACATAAGTAGACATGCACGAAGAATAAACATAGAAGTACACATAAGTAGACAGGCACGAAGAATAAACATAGAAGTACGCATAAGTAGACATGCACGAAGAATAAACATAGAAGTACGCATAAGTAGACATGCACGAAGAATAAACATAGAAGTACACATAAGTAGACAGGCACGAAGAATAAACATAGAAGTACACATAAGTAGACAGGCACGAAGAATAAACATAGAAGTACGCATAAGTAGACAGGCACGAAGAATAAACATAGAAGTACGCATAAGTAGACATGCACGAAGAATAAACATAGAAGTACACATAAGTAGACAGGCACGAAGAATAAACATAGAAAGTGCATAAGTAGACAGGCACGAAGAATAAACATAGAAGTACGCATAAGTAGACATGCACGAAGAATAAACATAGAAGTACATAAGTAGACATGCACGAAGAATAAACATAGAAGTACGCATAAGTAGACAGGCACGAAGAATAAACATAGAAGTACGCATAAGTAGACAGGCACGAAGAATAAACATAGAAGTACACATAAGTAGACATGCACGAAGAATAAACATAGAAGTACGCATAAGTAGATGCTGAAGAATAAACATAGAAGTACGCATAAGTAGACATGCACGAAGAATAAACATAGAAGTACATAAGTAGACAGGCTGAAGAATAAACATAGAAGTACACATAAGTAGACAGGCACGAAGAATAAACATAGAAGTACGCATAAGTAGACAGGCACGAAGAATAAACATAGAAGTACGCATAAGTAGACATGCACGAAGAATAAACATAGAAGTACATAAGTAGACAGGCACGAAGAATAAACATAGAAGTACGCATAAGTAGACAGGCACGAAGAATAAACATAGAAGTACGCATAAGTAGACATGCACGAAGAATAAACATAGAAGTACACATAAGTAGACAGGCACGAAGAATAAACATAGAAGTACGCATAAGTAGACAGGCACGAAGAATAAACATAGAAGTACGCATAAGTAGACAGGCACGAAGAATAAACATAGAAGTACGCATAAGTAGACAGGCAAGCGTTCAAAGTAGACAAAGAAAAATTTTTCAGTATACTACCACAAAGTATGTGATATGAATGGACCATGGTTATTATTCCTCTCAAACCTTCTCTGTACTATGCTGTCTTTGAATAAAGGGTGGTCGTTAACCATCACGTAACGCATGCTGAGCTTACATTTATATCTAATATTATGTTTGATATTGTTAGGAAACTTATTTGTTAGAAAATCTTCCTTGTTAAATAATTATTTTTAGCTCTGTCTGCATGCTTTCAAGAATTTTTTCGTAAGTTAAAGATTGTTGATAAAAATCACAAAGTGAGTCGTATCCGCTTATTGAATCCAAAAGGCTGCTATTCAAAGCATGAATCAGGAAGAAAGGACTGCCTGTAACTATATTTCAGTGTTTTTGATAGCATTTCTCCACTGAGCTAACTTAGTTATATGCTCATAATAGCGATTCTCGTGTTGAAATATAGACAAGGTGACAAAAATGGATTTTTAAACATAGTTCTTGAAATAATTAGAGTTTAGTTATGAATGCTTATGTTTGAGTACAACCAAATATTAGAAACTACAAAATTATCCTACGCCATTTTGGCATTGTGATTATGCAAAAGCTAAAGTTTTAAAAAATCGTTTACAATATTCACTCCTTCGCAGATATGAAGGATGTTTCATCATAAATTGGGTTAGCCTGATGCATGACTACCACCTGTCGACTCTGTCCTCTTGTCTCTCTAAAAGTTCAAAAGATAACATAAAAATTTAGTTTAATTTATAATCAATAAGCTCCAAATAATTCTCAATGTTTGCAATAGTTCCATCTGAATATATTAATATCAGAATTCATAAGCGCAATGTATTTTTTTCGTTGAGTGGTTGGGTCTGAAAGTTTTTATTCCGGATTTCAGATTCCGGTATCGGAAGCCCGTATAGTTTTCACGGATGTGTAAATTGTTTTAAAGTTTCTGTTTACTTCAACTGTTTGCAGTGACAATGAGATATAGTTTGTGTGCACGTGACCTCAAGGGTTTATAGTACGTCATTTCGGGGAAGTGAAGAACCAACATTGCTTCCAGTAATGCAAAACAGTCCATAATCATAGAATAAGGAAACACAGAAAGCTCACTCCATTGAATTTTCTTTTGTGCATATCTTATTACGCATTTGTTTACCATAATGGCGGGCCAGTCAATTGGCCTGTTTTGACCTATAGGAATGTTAGCATGCGTAACTGCAGCCAGCACTTACCGAGTGAAGTGGCCTTTGTGTGTATTCCTTTAGTCTGTGCCATAATTACTCGATTATACATCCAAACTTTTAATGCCTTACGTAGTTGTTTTTTCTCGTGTAAGTTAAAGCATATGTTTCTCGTCATTTGTTCCACGTAAAACCTTGCTTTAATGGCATTGATTTTCATTTTTGTGGTTTTTTTTATTAGGTCGACTTAAGATGGCTGAACAGACTTGGGACCTGGAAAAGTTTTCCCGGTAAGTTTTGCTTTTTATCGTTAACATTTCTATGCTGCCTTAGACATTTCTATGCTATCTAGAAATAAAAAACATTTTCTGTGTTTCTATGGAGTTATAGAAACACGCGGAAAAGTTTTTCCCGTAAGTTTTGCTTTTTATCGTTAACATTTCTATGCTGCCTTAGACATTTCTATGCTATCTAGAAATAAAAAAACATTTTCTGTGTTTCTATGGAGTTATAGAAACACGCGGAAAAGTTTTCCCGTAAGTTTTGCTTTTATCGTTAACATTTCTATGCTGCCTTAGACATTTCTATGCTATCTAGAAATAAAAAAACATTTTCTGTGTTTCTATGGAGTTATAGAAACACGCAGAAAAGTTTTCCCCGTAAGTTTTGCTTCTTATCGTTAGCATTTCTATGCTGCCTTAGACATTTCTATGCTATCTAGAAATAAAAACATTTTCTGTGTTTCTATGGAGTTATAGAAACACGCGGAAAAGTTTTTCCCGTAAGTTTTGCTTTTTATCGTTAACATTTCTATGCTGCCTTAGACATTTCTATGCTATCTAGAAATAAAAAAACATTTGCTGTGTTTCTATGGAGTTATAGAAACACGCAGAAAAGTTTTCCCCGTAAGTTTTGCTTTTTATCGTTAACATTTCTATGCTGCCTTAGAAATTTCCATGCTATCTAGAAATAAAAAAAACATTTTCTGTGTTTCTATGGAGTTATAGAAACACGTGGAAAAGTTTTCCCCGTTATTTTTGCTTTTTATCGTTAACATTTCTATGCTGCCTTAGACATTTCTATGCTATCTAGAAATAAAAAAACATTTTCTGTGTTTCTATGGAGTTATAGAAACACGCAGAAAAGTTTTCCCCGTAAGTTTTGCTTCTTATCGCTGCCTTAGACATTTCTATGCTATCTAGAAATAAAAAACATTTTCTGTGTTTCTATGGAGTTATAGAAACACGCGGAAAAGTTTTCCCCGTAAGTTTTGCTTTTTATCGTTAGCATTTCTATGCTGTCTTAGACATTTCTATGCTATCTAGAAATAAAAAAACATTTTCTGTGTTTCTATGGAGTTATAGAAACACGCAGAAAAGTTTTCCCCGTAAGTTTTGCTTCTTATCGTTAGCATTTCTATGCTGCCTTAGACATTTCTATGCTATCTAGAAATGAAAAACATTTTCTGTGTTTCTATGGAGTTATAGAAACACGCAGAAAAGTTTTCCCCGTAAGTTTTGCTTATCGTTAGCATTTCTATGCTGCCTTAGACATTTCTATGCTATCTAGAAATAAAAAAACATTTGCTGTGTTTCTATGGAGTTATAGAAACACGCAGAAAAGTTTTCCCCGTAAGTTTTGCTTTTTATCGTTAACATTTCTATGCTGCCTTAGAAATTTCCATGCTATCTAGAAATAAAAAAAACATTTTCTGTGTTTCTATGGAGTTATAGAAACACGTGGAAAAGTTTTCCCCGTTATTTTTGCTTTTTATCGTTAACATTTCTATGCTGCCTTAGACATTTCTATGCTATCTAGAAATAAAAAAACATTTTCTGTGTTTCTATGGAGTTATAGAAACACGCAGAAAAGTTTTCCCCGTAAGTTTTGCTTCTTATCGTTAGCATTTCTATGCTGCCTTAGACATTTCTATGCTATGTTAGATTATGAACTTTATTCAAAGAGAAGGATTCGTATTGATTTTACAACAACAATATATATATGTACATGTGCAGGAAGTATGTAAGATCGTACGATTGTCACGTGTCCATTGATCTGTATCTAATGAACTGAATTAACATTAACTTTAACAAATGAAATACTTTATGTTATATTGTATCATGTTAACACCCCCACTCAGACTCAGCTTCCTCATGATGAGTCTGCTATGTGGTTAACTAAATTCCTAAAAGTGTTGCTCGATGTTTTCTACTTTGACTCGAGATAATGACTTTGTAAGAATGTCTGCTGTCATTTCTTCGGTTGGAACGTAACTGATCTTTATTTCCTTGTTTTGTACTCTTTCTCGAATGAAATGTAGTTTCGTATCGATGTGCTTTGATCGTTTATGCATTACGGGATTGTGACACATCTTTATACAAGATTGGTTATCTTCTCCAATGTTGGTTGGTTTCTTCATTGGGTAACCTAAATCTTTCATTAGTGCTCGTAGATATATTGCTTCTTGTACAGCTGCCGCCATAGCTTGATATTCGGCTTCGTTGACGAAAGTGCTACAGTTGCCTGTTTCTTCACTTCCCAGCTGATTGCACCTCCGTTCCCTTCAAATTTGAAGTAATATCCTGTAGTTGATTTGCGATCATTGAGATCACCACTCCAATCTGCGTCTGAATCACCAACGATATCGAGATTGGAATTCTTCAAGAATGTTAATTGTAAATCGATAGTTCCTTTAAGATATCTTAATACGTGCTTTGCTGCTTTCCAATGTGAAATGTCTGGTTTATCTAGGAATCTTGATAGCTGATTAACAATGTGAAGGATATCTGGACGGGTTTGTTTACCAATAAATAGTAATGATCCAACTAAACTTCTGTATAACTTCGCATCGACTAACTTCTGATCGTCGTTGCTTTTGATTAGCTTCAGATTTACTTCTCCAGGCGTTGCTGCTGCTTTACAATCACTCATATTGAATTGTTGAAGAACAGATTCGATGTATTTCTTTTGGTCAACGGTAATCTTGTCGTGAGATCGTAGAATTCGCATTCCTAAGAACCAGTGCAGTTTGCCACGGTCGTCCATCTTGAAATTTTGCTTAACATTGCTTTGATATGATTAACTGCTTTTCACTCGTACCAGCCACTATAATATCGTCTACCCAAACTAATACGTATGAGTATGTTCCATCTTCTTCTTTTCTCACAAATAAACAATAATCGTTGCAGCTACGTTTGAATTTTTCTTTAATAAGTAGACTAGCCAGTGCTTCGTACCAATTCTTTGCCGCTTGTTTCAATCCATAGATTGATTTGTTTAGCTTGCAAACTTGCTTTCGTCCTGATTTTGCTTTCTTGGTAAAACCTTCTGGTTGTTCTAGATAAATTTCTTCTTCTATGTTGGAGTGAAGGTATGCTGATTTAACATCCATCTGGCCAATATGTAGACCTTTTTGTGCTGTCATTGCGAGCAGTATTCGAAAAGTTTCGGGTTTACATGTTGGAGCGTAAGTATCGAAAAAGTCTAAGCCTTCGACTTGAGCATAACCCTTGGCTACATATCTTGCTTTATATTTGTCGATTTTACCATCTACTCCATATTTTACTTTATACACCCATTTTCCTGGTAGGACTTGCGCATTTTCTGGTTCGTTTTCTATTGTCCATGTGTTATTGTCCATTAGTGAATCATATTCTGCTTTCATCGCTTTTCTCCAGTTTTCAGCATGCGGTGTATTAATTGCTTCATGATAAGACTTGGGTTCTTGTACACTTTCTTCATTAGTTGTGTTGAACGTATAGTATAATCCATACCTTTCTGGTGGCCGCCGATTTCTGCTTTCTCTAGGAAGCGAGATTTCTTCCTCTGGATTTTCTTCATCTTCTTGCTGATGTTGAACAGCAGGTATCGGTGCATTATTTTCCCCCACTTCATCTTGAATCGGTTCCTTTGTTTTCTCATCTTTCGAACGATCATCGTCGAAATCCATGTTGGGGCTCATAAGATTTGGTTGTTCTGGATTTATCGTATCTTTTGCTGAAAAAGGTTGAATTTCACTTTCTTTGAAGACAACATTGCGTGCTTTGATGACTTTCATTGATTCGAATTCTTGCAGGATGTAAGCTGTGCTTTTGTCATCGTAACCAATAAATTTCGCTTTCACAGATCTTGAATCCAATTTCTTTAGGTTGGTCTTCCTTTTCATGACGTATGCTGTGCAGCCAAAAGTGCGTAGATGATTTAATCTTGGGGTTTTTTCGGTGAATAGCTCGAAAGGACTTTTACCTTGTTCGCTGTTGGCAGTAACGGTGAGATTTCTGATATGAGATGCTGTGGATAAGGCTCTTACCCAATAACGTTTTGGTAACTGTGCTTGGATTAATAGACATCGTCCCATTTCAACTAGAGTTCGATTATAGCGTTCGGCAACTCCATTTTGTTGCGGGGTTTCGGGTACTGTAAATTCCTGCTTTATTTTTGATTCTATGCAGTAAGCTTTGAATTGCTTCGATGTATACTCTGCTCCATTATCGCTTCTCAATTTTCGAGGTAATCCTGATTCTGCTACGTACTCTTTAAATTTTCGAATGCTTGTGCTTTCTTGCTCATGAATTTAACGATTGCATACTTCGAGTATTCGTCCACAAAGGTAATTGCATATCTGCATCCACTGAGGCTAGGCACTTCAAATGGACCAAGAATATCTGTGTATACCAATTCGCGTGGTTTCTGGGACTTATTGTGGGCTTCTTTAGGTACAGGTTTGCATGATTGCTTTCCAAGAGCGCATGTTTCACACACTTTCCTTAATTTGTCTTCGCAGTTAACTGTGCGTTTGACATCATCTTTGTTCAAATGTCCGAGGCGTTGATGCCACAGTTGAAAATCACCTTTTATTTCTCTTTTATTCTGGTTGCTTGTAATGGAATTACAGGAACTGGATCTTTGGAATATGATCTCTAGATAAAATAAACCTGCATTTTTGTTTAGGGCAATTTCTGGACCATGATTTAACATCAACTTTGCTTCACACTCTTTGAATACGAACTTATGTCCAAATTTGACAGCTCGGTTGACAGAGAGTAGGTTGACTTCATAATTTGGCACATAAAGGACATTTCGCAGTACCATCTCTACTTCTTCTCCATCGTTCAATAAAAGCTTTACTGGTACGTCACCAATACCTTCGATAGGTGTTAATTTTCCCTTTGGATCCTTAACATTTTTAGTATTGCATGGTTTTAAGTTGTTGAATAGTTCCTTTTTAGTAATGATGTGATCTGTGCAACCGGTATCAATGATGATATAATTCAATCTTCTACTGTCACTATTTATTCCAGTGCCACTGTTCATGCATTGAGAGTATGATGAGAATGAATTTGGTCCTCTTGTTGGAGATTCTTCGGTTTTATTCTGACTCCTACATGCTCTTGATAGATGTCCCTTTTTCTTGCACTTCGAACAGAAAGCTGAACTTCTTTTACTACATTGCTTGGCAAAATGACCAGGGAGTCCACAAACATAACAAGTTCCTTTTTGCTTGATTGGGGCTTTGTTTTTGCCTGATGCATTTCCAGAATGCATTGCTATTGCGCTATCTTCTCCTTGGTTTCTTTGGATCCGACTATCCTCGTAATTCTGTAGTCGAGTTCTCAGTTCTGAGAAGTTAGCTGCTGGGTTGAAACTTTCTTGAACCACGAAGTGTTCAAATTTTTCTGGAAGTCCATTAATGACTAGAGCATTAAATAATGTTTCTGATATATTTTCTCCGGCTTCAGTGAGTCGAGACATTAATTCTTGTGATCGTATGAAGTATTCGGATAACTTTTCACTTTCACCTAATTGTAATCGAGATATTTGTCGAACTAGACTTACTACAGTTGGTTTTCTACGTTAGAAAATCTTTGTTGCAGTAGACGCCACGCTTTTGCTCCGTCTCCGACACCATCTGGCGACAAGCAGTCATGTCGTATGTATAAAGGCTGTTGTTGTCAAGAGCTAATGCAATATGACACCATACCGTGTTGTTTCATTCTTTGATTTCATCAATTTGTTGATTTCTCTCGCGTACTTTTGTTTCCCATTCGGACCTTTGCTCACTTGTAGCGTCGACTGTTAACGGTGTAACTTCTTGAGGTATGACTTCTCTACCAATGAGAGCTTTGTACAAACCTTTCGTTTGCATATATGCAGTAAACTTTGTGCTCCATGCCGGATAGTTCTCGGCTGTTCCATCGAACACAAGCCACTTTATTGTTTGACTATCCATAAATACGGTCTTGTACTATTTCTGTACTATTTCGGAGCTTTTTCTGGGCTATTCCTTTGCTATCTGGGCTACTTCTGAGCTTCCTGGGCCCATAACCTGTTAGATTATGAACTTTATTCAAAGAGAAGGATTCGTATTGATTTTACAACAACAATATATATATGTACATGTGCAGGAAGTATGTAAGATCGTACGATTGTCACGTGTCCATTGATCTGTATCTAATGAACTGAATTAACATTAACTTTAACAAATGAAATACTTTATGTTATATTGTATCATGTTAACATTTCTATGCTGCCTTAGACATTTCTATGCTATCTAGAAATAAAAAACATTTTCTGTGTTTCTATGGAGTTATAGAAACACGCGGAAAAGTTTTCCCCTTAAGTTTTGCTTTTTATTGTTAACATTTCTATGCTGCCTTAGACATTTCTATGCTATCTAGAAATAAAAAACATTTTCTGTGTTTCTATGGAGTTATAGAAACACGCAGAAAAGTTTTCCCCGTAAGTTTTGCTTTTTATCGTTAACATTTCTATGCTGCCTTAGACATTTCTATGCTATCTAGAAATAAAAAAACATTTGCTGTGTTTCTATGGAGTTATAGAAACACGCAGAAAAGTTTTCCCCGTAAGTTTTGCTTTTTATCGTTAACATTTCTATGCTGCCTTAGAAATTTCCATGCTATCTAGAAATAAAAAAAACATTTTCTGTGTTTCTATGGAGTTATAGAAACACGTGGAAAAGTTTTCCCCGTTATTTTTGCTTTTTATCGTTAACATTTCTATGCTGCCTTAGACATTTCTATGCTATCTAGAAATAAAAAAACATTTTCTGTGTTTCTATGGAGTTATAGAAACACGCAGAAAAGTTTTCCCCGTAAGTTTTGCTTCTTATCGTTAGCATTTCTATGCTGCCTTAGACATTTCTATGCTATCTAGAAATAAAAAAACATTTTCTGTGTTTCTATGGAGTTATAGAAACACGCGGAAAAGTTTTCCCCGTAAGTTTTGCTTTTTATCGTTAGCATTTCTATGCTGTCTTAGACATTTCTATGCTATCTAGAAATAAAAACATTTTCTGTGTTTCTATGGGTTATAGAAACACGCAGAAAAGTTTCCCCGTAAGTTTTGCTTCTTATCGTTAACATTTCTATGCTGCCTTAGACATTTCTATGCTATCTAGAAATGAAAAACATTTTCTGTGTTTCTATGGGTTATAGAAACACGCGGAAAAGTTTTCCCGTAAGTTTTGCTTTTATCGTTAGCATTTCTATGCTGCCTTAGACATTTCTATGCTATCTAGAAATAAAAACATTTTCTGTGTTTCTATGGAGTTATAGAAACACGCAGAAAAGTTTTCCCCGTAAGTTTTGCTTTTATCGTTAGCATTTCTATGCTGCCTTAGACATTTCTATGCTATCTAGAAATAAAAAAACATTTTCTGTGTTTCTATGGAGTTATAGAAACACGCGGAAAAGTTTTCCCCGTAAGTTTTGCTTTTTATCGTTAGCATTTCTATGCTGCCTTAGACATTTCTATGCTATCTAGAAATAAAAAAAAACATTTTCTGTGTTTCTATGGAGTTATAGAAACACGCGGAAAAGTTTTCCCCGTAAGTTTTGCTTTTATCGTTAGCATTTCTATGCTGCCTTAGACATTTCTATGCTATCTAGAAATAAAAAACATTTTCTGTGTTTCTATGGGTTATAGAAACACGCGGAAAATTTTCCCCGTAAGTTTTGCTTTTTATCGTTAACATTTCTATGCTGCCTTAGACATTTCTATGCTATCTAGAAAAAAAACATTTTCTGTGTTTCTATGGGTTAAACACGCGGAAAAGTTTTCCCCGTAAGTTTTGCTTTTTATCGTTAACATTTCTATGCTGCCTTAGACATTTCTATGCTATCTAGAAATAAAAAACATTTTCTGTGTTTCTATGGGTTATAGAAACACGCGGAAAAGTTTCCCCGTAAGTTTTGCTTTTTATCGTTAACATTTCTATGCTGTCTTAGACATTTCTATGCTATCTAGAAATAAAAAAACATTTTCTGTGTTTCTATGGAGTTATAGAAACACGCGGAAAAGTTTTCCCCGTAAGTTTTGCTTTTATCGTTAACATTTCTATGCTGTCTTAGACATTTCTATGCTATCTAGAAATAAAAAAACATTTTCTGTGTTTCTATGGAGTTATAGAAACACGCGGAAAAGTTTTCCCCGTAAGTTTTGCTTTTATCGTTAACATTTCTATGCTGCCTTAGACATTTCTATGCTATCTAGAAATAAAAAAACATTTTCTGTGTTTCTATGGAGTTATAGAAACACGCGGAAAAGTTTTCCCCGTAAGTTTTGCTTTTTATCGTTAACATTTCTATGCTGTCTTAGACATTTCTATGCTATCTAGAAATAAAAAAACATTTTCTGTGTTTCTATGGAGTTATAGAAACACGCGGAAAAGTTTGGGAGAAATGAAATTACGTTTCAAGAACGCGTGCACGAAGTGCGATCGCTTCAAACAATTTCAAATTTTATGTATTTTCAAAAATTCAAATTTTTAAAGTTTACTATTTTCTAAAGGGAATTAGCATAGCTATTACAACGGAAAAATACTCAAAAACATCCTTTGAAAACTCAAGATTCGTGTTATATTGACAAAGACAAATTTATAAACGATATTTCCACTATTTTTAAAGTAAATATCCTTTCAATTAAAATCGTAGATTTGTCTCTTGTTAATAACTCGAATTTTGAGTTTACAAGATGATGTTTTGTAGTGTGTTTGTGCTATATTTCTTTCAGTAATCGGCTGAAATACTTTTAGAATAGCTAAGCTTTATGTATTTTCGGAGACTTGTTTGAAATTTGTGCGGTCTTTTATTTTGTGGGTTTTGCAAAATTTGTCTGATTTGAGAGTTATTTTGACTTATCATTTATGTATAGCTAATCGGACTTTGTCCGATTTTTATTGGGTTTGAACGAAAGCTAATCGTAGTTGTGCAAATGTCCTATTGGTTCCTGTTAACAGGTGCAAAATGTAATATTTCTATCAACTTTTCCGAATTTTGTCAATGAAAGTCAATTTGAAAGTCTAACTAAAAATAATCAACGTAAATAATTTTAGAAGGAAAGGTCCTACCTAAACCGTGTCATACCTTCTTCTGAAACATCGTCGGTACAGAATAACTATTACCGATATTATGAGGATTAAGCCAAAGCATTCACCCACTGACGGTAAGACGATGTTGAAAATCAAGTTGTTCTTGTCTGTAGTCCTCGTTTTCGTCGATACGAAGAATTTGGAAGAAAACACGATTTTCACTCGGGTTGTGTTCCTAAAACTTGCCCCTCCAGAAATATTAAACAAATGAACAAAAATGTAGACGTCTTTTTCATTTTCTGGTATGGAGTAAAATTGAAGTCGCATAGATGAATTCCACTGGCCTTCCCTCATAAGCACTTCTCCTAATTCAGGAGATACTTTGAATGAACTTTGTTGAAACTCGACTTTCCACGATATATTTATATCTCCGGTCGAACCTTTGAGTCTCATCAGTGTTAAAAACATTTGTTTACTATGAAGTTTAGGATCGTACATCACACTGTCGTTTTTGTCAATGTATCCATAAGGCATCGTGGGCGACATATCTGATTTATAATTTCATGTCAGCAGTAGTAGATGCGTAGTAGCTCCCACCGATAATCTTGCATTTGTTCTTAGCAAATAAAATTTTACGTCAAAAACCCTTGAGATGATAGTAAGGTATAAAAATGCTTAGAAGCTCTAAAATTGAAAACAAACAATGTTAAAAACGTTGACTTTGTAGTTAAATGCAGCTGCATCAGGTTTACATGAAGTACACATTTATAAATTCACCTATTTACAAATTTATAAATTCAGAACATATGATTATTAAGATACTTGATGGTTTACCCAAGCTAAGGAGCCAGAGCTTTCCCGATAAGCAAGTTGCAGTAAATATAATTCAATCTGCCGTATTAACGTACTTTGTACTCCTTACTCTACACGTATATGGAGACGGGGGGGACTGGGAAAAGCTGAGACGTGCCAAAAAAAGAAATTTCTCGTTTACTTTTCATATAGATAAAGTATAAGTTGAGAAACAAGATTTATTAATGATACATAATGTCTTAGTCATACATAAAGATTGAAATGAAATAACCAGTAAATAGCATCAAATATTTTGTTAAAAGAATGTGCTGGCAGTATCTTTTTCTCACTTCACAGACTTTAAAACGAAAGGAGATCAGACAACATATGAATGACACTCCAATTAATCACGTGAGCCTCTTGTTACGATATGTTATGGCATTTGTTGTACAGCTTGGTAACTTCGTACTACGTCTAAAGTTTACCACTTCATTGCGAAGACTTGTTGAGCAAGTCACTGCTGTTCGTGCATATTACTTTAAAAAATTTGTGATGTTAGATGGCAAAATTACAGGTCTGGAAAGAAGAATTGAGTATCTCGAGGGTCGTGGTGGTAGCAATAGTTATAACACCCAGTTGTCCCCAGAGGTTTCTTTGTTGCGTGAAAGAATTGCAACACTAGAGCGACAAGCCAGAGACGATTTTTCCACTATACAACGGTTTCGTGAGCGTTTAGATCAATTAGACAAATCAATAGTGAGAAACATGGTAAAGATTATGAACCTCGAAGCACAACGTGAAGAGCGCGCACTGGGATCAAATCATACACAGCTATTATGGTACGTTACTTTGGAGAATAGACAACTTCAATCGAAAGCGACAGGACGCCATTAATGATGTTAAGAATGCCTGGTACAGTCCACCATTTTACATTTCTCAATATGGTTACAAGATGTGTGCTAAGATCTATATGAATGGTGATAGTCGGGGAAATGGAACTCATTTATCTTTCTTCTTTGTTATCATGTAAGGTAAAGCTATTTTAGCAGTTTCTACTTAAGCTGCGTCAAAAATTGGAGGTGGATTTTCGTAGGTATAAAATAGGCTGTCCAAGAATGTTTGGTAGCATGCAGATGATGGCAAAAATTGCGTTAAAATTGAGATAATGTAATTTGATTGCTCTAGAGGCATAATATCTAAGAATACAGAATACGTCACGTGACTCGCTGTGCTTTTTGGAATAGATAAGATTAGAAGTTAGATTCCCAGTTGGAACAAGTTGTTGAATAATGTAGATTGTGATATGAAGAGTATAAAGCCAAAGATCTATATTTTCAATTCACCGCAAAAGCAGACTAAAGCTTACAATTGTTTGTGAGATGCGATACTTTTTATTTTTTTTGATCATGTACGAAAATAAATGACGAAAGAAAGGAAAGGTATGCCTTGGGATTTATTAAGACTTATATCATATTATTATAAAAATTTATATTGTGTATGATATTATTTCTAGGTGATTACGATGCTCTACAAACATGGTCATTTCAAAAGAAGATCACAATGATGTTAATAGCTCAAGGAAATGGTGATCACATGATTGATGCTTTTCATTCAGATCCTCAAAGTTCCTTATTTCAGGGACCAGTGTCTGATTTAAATCTATTTGGATTGCCACTTCTAATTTCTCCGATAGAGAGTTTAAGCAATCTTCTGTTCATTAAAGAGAATACAAAGTTTATTAAGTTAATAGGCAAACGCAACCCGACCTAAACATGTTACAAACAACTCACCTAGCTCTTTCATGTAATTTTTAGTTGTCAATACAAAACGCTATTTGTTGTAAAGCACTCAATAGTGTTTATATAAGTTTTTCTTGTTTGCTTCTGGTCAGTATATCCACAGTAAAGGAATATACAACAGTAGGGGCACTTCGCTGTGCAATTGGCTGCTGTATATTTAATGAGTTTACTGGCTGCCCTTTGCCATATCGTCAATCCAATTGGTCAAAGAATTCAATTTACTGGCTGCCAATATGGTAATCACATGCGTAATAAGATATGCGTGGCACGAAAACACTCAGTACAGTGGCCCTACTCTATGTTCTCTATACCGTAGCATTGTTATGAAGTATGTCCCCATGTTTACTTTGTAACACGGGCTGAAATGTACGTTTGGTCATATCCTATCTACAGTTTTGTACTTTTATCATTTAATTTCATTAGAATCGAATTTTTCTACATTTGAAGCGTTTTCTTTCTCAAATTATTTCACAGCACGAACAATATTTACAAAGAATCATCTTACGTCTGTTGTGTTTCCCTATTTTATATTCACTCTTTAGATCATTCATTAACAATGAAGATGGTTTGAAAGAATTTAGACTATGTTTTGATTAAATAACACCTCTTAAAAATTTTTGTGTTCACCTTAAAAATCTGTGGTTGGGATGATGTGATCAAGTGATTTAAAAAGGAGGAAGCAATCATCAACATGTCGTCTGTAGAGAACAGGTTTGAATTTGTGGGGGTAGTTTTTCAGCCAGTTTTGTTCATGGAATATGTTGGTCGAAAGAGGGCCAGGAGTCTACCCATAGCAACACCATCAAATTGGTGGTGTAAGCGGTCGTTAAACATAAAGTGGCAATTTTTAACAGATAGCGTTAGTAGATTACTGAATTCGGTGCTGCTGAGTCCATGAAATTGTTTATGATTAGTAATAAAAGATCACAGATGATATTGATTGTTTCATGAAGGGGAATGTTGGACAAAAGAGAAGTTGCGTCAAAACTAGCCATAACAACTTTGTTAGAGTTGATGTTAGTGTTAAGTATTTCTTGCACGAAGGAGAATGAGTCCTTTATCATGAAAGAGTTTGGAGATGGGTGTAAGCAGCAGAATGAAAAATTTAGCTAGTTTATATGAGTAGTGATTTATACAAGATAGAATGGGTCGTAAGGGAATGGTTGGTTTGTGAATTTTTGCAAGTCCATATAGTATACCTATTTGTGAGCCAGTCGGGTGGAGTTTATTGTAAGTCTGTTCATCAATTGATTTCGTTTTCTGGAGTTGTTTGAGTAATGATTTCACCTGGGTTTCACGTTGTTGTGTTCAAATTTTGAGGAATCAGAGAGGATTTCTGACATTTTGTTATTGTAGTCGGTTTTATCAAGAATGACAACGGCATTAGGTTTCATGACAACAATGCTATTGTCATTCTTCAGGTCATTTAGAGCGTTGATTTCGTCTTTTGAAAATAAAAAACTAGGACGGCTGTAGCTGTGATGACCAGATAGTGCAATGTCTTTCATTCGAGTTTTTACGGATTTATAGTGAAAACCAGAGTGTTCATAGATGCTTTCATTATGAGTTGCGGCGAAGAATTTTTGGAAGGGTGCGAGAAAATTACAGTGGCTTAACTTAGTAGGTGGAATGGCAAAATTTAAACACTTAGAAAGGATTTCTTTTTCTTTGTTGGCGATTAACCTGTTCAAGAAATTGAACACCACTTTGTCAGGGTTGATTTGAATGTTATTGTCGTTCTTAGAGCAAATGTGAAAAGGCTTTCGATCTTGTATGTGTTGGTGTTGGTTTAATTTCTTCAAGTTCTCACGATCTTAAACATTCTTGAAAAGTATAAAGTCTAGTGTAGATACGGATGAAGCCAGATGAGAATGGGTCGTTATTACTTGAGCAGATAGCACGCGTATACTAGAGTGTTTGTCGTTTATTTCTTCGAGGAGCAGTTTGCTTTGACATTGTCGATAAGCGCTAGAACTACGCAGACGGCGATTTGCAACATTGAACCACAAGAAACGTGGTATTGTTTATGACTATGTTTAAAATTATTTGTTGAGCTCTAATACTTATATTGAGAATTCGCTTTCCGCCTGGCTCTTCATTGGCAACAATATTGATAAATCGATATGACAATAAAACGCGTAAAGAATTCAGAAAGTATTAAAAGCAAAATTGAGCTAAAAATTCCTTACAACATGTCAAATGCGTAAATGGCGGATCTGACGTAAGGACATAAAAATTCTGGGACACATCGCACCCCTGATTTGCCCAACTGTTCTCTTCCTATTTTGAGCTTTAACGTAAGTCAGGTCCGTTTAATTTTGTAGAAATGAAATGTAAGTACTGTGTATTTACTGGCGAAGTAAGAAATTTATGGCAGAAATCAAAAGGTTTGGTTATAACCTTTGTAATGTGAATGGTTTTACTATTCGCCACTAAAAGGTTTAACCTATAGTGGCAAATTTGTTCAGAAAGAATGGTCCCGGATATCTGTACTGTATTGGTTAAATATGGAGGTTACACCATAAATGGAATGATATAAAGTTATTAAAAGAACATTGTACAACATCATACGTATGTATGAACATTTACATTGGAAGATGAAAACTGACAACATTCTATAATGACTTTATTCTATAAAAATGAAAACAGGCAAATGCAAAAGAGAATGAAAAAACATGATCCGGTTTTATAGAACTTAAATGAGTTCATATGTGTTAAATTTTATTTGCATTAATATGAGGTTATTATGAAGGATCACGGTGGTCTATTTTACAATTTGAATACAAAGAAAAGAGATCATCTTTAAACTAGGATTTTATGACCAAATCTTCCAAACTGTAGTTGTCAATATAAGGAGACCACGTCTTGACCACGTTCAACGCGTTTAAATATAAAATTCCTTAGAATCTTACGATTTCTTTTGCGTTTTAATGTCGTTATGCAAAGTAACGATGCATGATGTTGTAGGGTAGGTTAGTATTCATTAGACCTTAATGAATTTAAAAACTAGACTTTAATTTTGAGGAAATCTTCATTGAATCTTGCATTCATGTCTGGATAAGTTAAGGTTGTGAGAATGGTTTAAAGGCGTTCTGATTGACGTCACCAATATCTTCTAGCCCAAAATTATAATATTAGCGTTATTTAATGTGCGGAATAATTTAATTAATAAACAATTGACGTAATATCGCTGAAAAATAGTCAATTGTTAGTAGCATTTCATATATATTAATGAAGGGAGAGCTTAGTTCTTTTGTTTGGCAGCAATACGTTTTGTTTTTAAAAATTAGATTTGATAGATATCCGGTAATTTGTTCAAGTACAAACAATGTATTTTAACCCTATAGAGACCATTGTTGCTCACAGACAACAAACACCAAACGAGATGTGTAAGAACTTTTGAAAAGGCACGGCTCCCAGAGGGTTAAACAATCATGGAACAAATACATATAATGACATGCTTAACACTATTTATATAGATACCTTTCACTTCAAGCTACATATAAACCACGAGGCGTCATGGAAGGCAGATGTTGTTCATAGGAGATGGAACAAGACTATACACATAGACGACAAGTGTAAAGATTTGTGATTGTGCCAAGCACAATAAAGTTGTTGCCTTCAACTCTCCTCGAAGACGAGTTACCGAAACACGTCTCGTTTGATTGCAGATGTATTTAAACGTGTTGATAAAAAATCAAGACCGTAAATATCTGAATGCTACTGAACAAGGACATACCGCACATATTTAAACATTTGAAAGCCACGATGTACAGATAGATACTATCAGTATTACGTCTTAAATGTTGATAGTAGCAGCAAAAAGAAATTTCAAAATCCTGTATGAAAATAGATCCTACGGCTGGAAACTACAAATGTAAGTAACTAAACTGACGATAAATGATAGTTTGTTTTTGGATTTGTCTCTATTGTTCTTGTGAAACTCTTAATGGTTTTTATTGATGCTACTAATTTCTGGTTTGTTTCTTCAATATCACATTAGTTATAACTGAATATATGCAATGAATATAAATACACTAAATTTGCCATCTGTCTCCAATGCACTTTGTGGTTGAGTGCATAGAAGTGCAGCTTTCATAGATTAAGGTGTAGACTTGCAATAAACGAAAGCCGTTATTGTTTTTTTGCTCAATTTTCTACGACTCTCTACTATATTTTTAGTAGTAGAAATTCGGGGAAAACAGAACGCCCTTAAACCCGATCCTTACCTTAACCCAGCAAGACATGACTGCTAGATCAATTAATATTTGGACGAAATTAAAGTCTAGTTTATAAATTCATTATCGCCTCATGAATCTTAACCTACAACATCATGCATCTTTGCTTTGCATACGACATTAAAAAAAAATCTGTAGATTCTGATGAATTTTTTATTTAAATACGTTGAAGGATAATTACTTATTGTCTTTGTGAAGGTGAAAAGCTCCTAAGGAGCCAATCGCAATAAATATTTTAGTCAGGACAAAAACTAAACAGATGTTAACAACGGAAAACTAGTCATTTAAACGTTGTAGAAAGTAATGTGAATTCTGTCTCTTTACTGACGAAGTACTGAAGTATGAGTTGCATGGAATAATCAACTAGTCTTAATGGTAGGCCTCGTAATATGAAAGCTTTCAATGTAAAATGCTTTGATAACGATGTAAAGCCTTTGATCGTTTGAAACTTGTTACATCTTTCAAACTTAACCAACTAACGCTATTTGTGCAATGTTGTGAATGTTCTACCATTTGGATAGTCAAACAGAAAACATATAAAATTTGCTCATTCTCAATATATCTGATTAAGAATTTAAAACGCAAACTAACGTCATATGTAGAGTTCTTCATCATGAAATGTCGTACATATGTTTTATATTTTCTTATATTGTAGATCCCACATGGATAGAGTTGTGAAAGTCCTTTACCACCTGTGTCATTCACTTCAATTACTCTTACTAGTTTGTCATTACTCATGTGTCATGGTGATTCATGGCCAAAAATGTTCATTTGTAGTTTGGATTCTTTGTGGATGTCAGTTGTTTGTTCATATAATGATGATGGGCCCCATTGTTATATGAGCCCACCAAAGGTGGTCAGCTGACATTCATAGGAAATCAAATCTGCACTAAGCATTCTTTGAGTGATGATATAACTGGGGTATTGAAGTGATCCTTTTCCTTCACTTGAAGTTACCATAAGAGTGCATTGTAAACAGTAATCTATCGAAATGGTGATTCATAATACCAGTAGCCCTTTATTGGTTACGTCGATTACTTTGTGTATGGAATGGTATAAACATATTGAATGGACATTGCATAACGGCATTTGTACATGTGAACATTAATATTGAAATGATTGGACTATAATCTACGAAGATGGAAAACAAGCGAGTGGAAAAACATGATCTATGTCTTGTGGTTTGTAAGTTGAGTAGATAAGATTAAAATTAACTTATAGCTATGAGTAACTGCATGAGATATTCAAAATGATCCTGATGGTCTATTTTATAATTTGAACTATAATCATGAAAAACACCCATATTAGCTAAAAAAGTCAATAAAAGATGTCAATTGCTGTGAGAAAATAGCTGGCTTTCACTCGCTACTTTTTACTAATTTTATTAAACGTTTATAAACAAAATTGTAATGTGCAAGTAGGGTTCATTGAAATTTTAAGATAAAAATGTTACGATATACACGTTACGATATACACGTAAAACTGCGCTGTGAAAAAGTGGAAGAGACCTACTAAGACGCCTGGATCAGACGGACCAGGACAATGCTTGAAAATCAGGTATTAAAGTTTTGTTCTTTTAAAATATATAATTTCTGATTTTATTCATTCATTATGCTGACATTTATAATGTGTTTTTATAGAGTAGCTATGTCTGTAGACGTAATAACTAGACATTGAATGAACGATCAAGTTGGACAGAAGCACGAAGAAACAAGCATCCTTATTGAAAGATTCCCACTTGCGACTTTCGTTATGCATACTATTAATCAGTATAACGCATTTTAAATTCAACCGTTAAAATTTCCGTAAAACTAAATTTTCACAATTGTCAAATTTTTGGACAAAACACACGAGTGAAAGCCAGCTATTAATGAAGGTCTTAAAAAAGCAACATAGCAATTTTGATCAAATGAAATCTAGTAGACATCAAAAATAATTTGTATGCAAGTCACGACGTCACTTTGGTCATTTCATTTTTTCTTGTTATTGGTAGGTGAATGATCAGGTCGAACATATTGAAAGAATTTTTCGTATGATTTCATTTCTTTTCTTCAAACACAAATAAATAAGGTAGTCAGCCCACTTTTTTGTCGCCGCTTTTTTTGTCGCTTTGCAAATTAAGATACGAACGACGAAGCTACGATCTGACTACGCTGCATGTTAAAGTAGATCATCGGGATCATTGAAAACAACAAAGATATGAAACATCTTAAAACAACAAAAATTTTAGGAAATTTTTCTAAATTTTGATCTTTTTTTTATTGGAGGGTTTTTTTACCGGATCTACCGGTTTTCCCTTCCATTTCGTTTTGTTTTGGAAAAAAAACCAGTGTCCACATTTGGGGACAAGCGAAGTCATTTGTCATAACATTATTTATTGTAGCTATCATGAATATTCACATTTATTTTTTATTTCTCGGCCTTTGGGTATATTTCCCAAAACACTGCGTTTAATGAATATAATGACATACATTTTGAAAAAAATATGTACGCAAGTTTTGTGCTCAGTCAGATCTTCTAAGACAAATTTTTAATCTTCTGGACTCAGCGAGAAAATCATGATTTTATACAGTATGGAAGTGTGATTTGCGTACATAATGAAAATTCCATGATTCTTTCATTTCACTAAGGAGACTTAAAATATTGCTTTAAACATGAGCAATGTGACGAATTTACTCATTACTCACAATAATATTGGCACACACCATTCGACAATTTTCTCCCCCACCATGAAGTGAGATGTTTTATGCCTATAGAAAGTACATTCCCAATGATATAGAGAGAAATGATAACACCAAATACACAGAGATTATTCTTGATATTAGATAGTTTGAGGTTGAGATTTTTAAACTACAATGTGCTTCTCAACGTCACTGCACATCTGAGACTAGCATTATCTTAATGACTATTTTCATTGCATCCTTTACTGTTGTATCGACAGTGTTTTTTCTCATAGCTAAGTAATTATAATGCGTGCAGTCGATGTTTAAAATGTATTCGTAATTTACAGTGGTTTATTTAATAACAAAGGTTTTTATAATATGAAGTGACTTGTGCAATAATATGCATGTATGGAATTTTTAATCAATAAAGAAAAAAATCCGTTTACAGCTTCCAAAATCGTGTCATACTCATTGACATTTAAATCTTGCCTTAGATCAGTGATCATCTATTCCTGAGTTAAAACTTGTGAAACTTTATAACATTTAGCAGCAGTCCTTTGGGATTTGACTAATCTCAATGTTATTATGTACTCTGCATGAAGTTCTTGTTTATGTATTTTTATTTCTATAACAATTGTTTTTAGTCAGTGATGTATACTCAGTTATATAACTAGAATGTTCTACATAGATGTCATTAATGTTTTATAATACTGTTTGTGGAAGGAGATCCTGACTCACTCTTCATCTTCGTTTGCTATTTAAATGTGTTTATGTAACAAAACTTACATTGATAATAGATTGATGTTACAATAAGGTATGAATTATGATCATCATTTTCAAACTGATATGTATGTGGTCGCGTTCTTTATATTAAATATCTCATCTTTGTAAGGTATGTGACATGTAAAAACTAAAACAAGCATATTTTTTCTATACAGTCGTCATATATAAAGTCTTATTTCTAAAACGAAGGTAATTTGTCGAAAGTAAAGCGAGTTTCTGAAACTATATAACTAACTTTACATAACGAATTTGCTACTAAAGCATCTCGATAATGTAGGACTAAACATTCAAGAGAAATCATATTTAAGTTAAGTACCAAATTTCTAACTATTGTCAATTGTAAGCTGCACGGCAAAGGAAAGCAAAACACTTCAAAGGTATGGGAGATGTGAAATAGCATATTTGTCTACTGAAAAAATGGGAATCCGTAAAAATTTATGTAGAAAGGATAGTATGTCCAATCATGCATCGCCTCCCTTTTTTTGCCGACGCCACTTTTGACTAATCGCTGTTTGTCTAACAAAATGTTGTTAATTGTATTGAGCAAACCATTCATTTTAAAAGTAAGAACACTTGTAAAATAAGCAAATGTTGAACACAGGAAAAATGTGTTTGCACAGAGAAAGAACGCAACCCAATCTATTTTTGTGAAATGTTGATTCATGCAACACAGCGAGCTTTTAAAATTAAACTTTTGATCATGTTTGTTAACAGTTTTAAGGTTTACTTTTATTGCAACCTTTACTGTTGTATCTACAGTGTCTTTATTGATCATAAGTAATAATAATTGTGTGCAGTTGATGTTTGCCATGTATTTATAATTTACAATGGTTTATTTAATAACAAAGTTTTTTTATAATATGAACTGACTTATACAAGAATATACATGTATGGAATTTTTTATTAATGAAGGGAAAAATCCGTTCACAGTTTCGAAATTCGTGTCTTAATCACTGGCATTCAAATCTTGTCTCAGATAGGTGATTCTCTATTCCTGAGTTAAAACTTGTGGAACTTTATAAGATTTAGCAGCAGTCCTTTAGAATTTGACTAATCTCAATGTTTTTATGTACTCTGCATGAAGTTCTTAATTATGTATTTTTATTTCTATAACAATTGTTTTTATTCAGTGGTGTATATTTAGTTATATAACCAGAATGTTCTACATAGACGTCATTAATGTGTTTTAATACTGTTTGTTGAAGGAGATCCTGACTCACTCTTAATCTTTGTTCGTTATTTAAATGTTTTTATGTAACAAAACTCAGAAGGATAAAAGATTGATGTTACAATAAGATTCGAACTATGATTGCCATTTTTAACTGATATATATGTAGTCGCGTTTTTTATATTAAATTTCTCATCTTTTGTTAGGTACATAACATGTAAAGAACTAAAGCAAGCATAATTTTGTCCACATGATCGTCGTATATGAAGTCTTATTTCTAAAACAAAGGTAATTTTACGTAAGTTAACCGAGATTTTGTATTTACATTTCTAACTTTTCTAACAAATTTGATACCGAAGCATTGCGTAGTATGAAGTATGACTTTAAACAAATCAATGTTCATTTCCATTCCAAATGAAAATCGTTTGAATGATTCTATAAGTGACTTTTAAAGCTATATTTAATACCACGACTGGAAAGTAGGTTTCATTTATTGTTTCAAATTATCCACTATAAAAATTGCGGCTCTTACACGAAGAAAAGGTTTGATAATAAATAATTCGGAGACAGTGATGCGCTTGACATTCACATATCTCATGTCATAATGAGTAATATAGAGACTACCGGTTCTGGCGCACTCACCCCCTAGCAGGCTGCATACATAAATGTAAGCGCCCCAGCCCTAGTGCACCTACGTGGTTCACATACATAGTACGCAATAGGTCGGCACAAAAATCGCACCGGATAACGCAAAGACCAAATTCAGGACAACGGCAAGAGCCAAAGACGGGCGGCCAACCCCAGCGCCAGCGCAGCCGGCCGTCGGGGCTATATTATTTATTCATACATATATTCTCACATATTGTATATCCAAACATTCGAAAGCCATGAGGCAGAGCAAGAACAAGTGTGCGTGGTTATTATCCGGAAAGCTCACCACATGTAGACGAAGCTGCATAGGTGAATACTGTGGATTTCATATGAGGCGGTTAAGGGAAGGCGGGCGACTTCCACAACCATATCGTAAGTGTGGGGTCGTAACACAGGCAGAAAGTATCCTTTGTAAAGCCTGAGGTGCGAATAGGGTGCAGCATATGTTTGTTTATAAACAGAAACAAGCAAGAAAAAGGTTTGCGAGCGCACTCGCCGAATTAATTTCTACATTTTGAATTGATTTCGACATTTAGAATTAATTTTGATTTAGAAAAATATCTCCCCTAATGCATATCAACCAGATTTGCGACACTCAAGATGGATACTGTTAATAAACTTCTGCAACTCTATGACCAAGGTGTAATCAGCGGACACGCGGTGAACGCCTCTCTTAATGCTCTTCAACCGCACGCTGCCTTTAACACCCACGCTACGAAATGTCACTTCGCCTATCTCCAAGCCGCGCAAGCGCAGGCCTATCCCCAAATCACGCAAGCGCAGGCCTATCCCCAAATCACTTAAGCGCAGCCCCGTTAAGTTTACCGATGATGAAGTTGATGCATACATCGATGAGCTTCTGGCTGAAATGTTATTGAGGCGCAGACCACAACGCCCCACAAGGGCTCCTCCCCCACCACTTACGGAACTTAAGTGGGATGAAATAAAGGCCTTCATCTATCATCTGAGAGCCTGGAAAATGCAGGTGCCGAAGGGGCACCCCTTTGAACGCGAGTTATTGGCTTTCCTCATAAACTCCCAGCCCTACATCGAACGCAAACTAGTCGAGGAGTTATTATCTCTACGAGGAGTTAAGTTCCAGTTGGCTGTAGAGGTTGAGCTTCGGAAGGATGAAGCAAATGGTACTGAAGTGCATCAAGCACCAGTGTTCAGGACAAAGCAGATCACGCTGCTACAGGAGCATGAGATTCCGCAAGCCCTACATGAAGCCTTCCAAACTATCCTGGAGAGGTTAAAAAAGTTCACTCGGGAAGGGTCTGGGTACATAGGGGATCGTGTCAAAACACTCTAGCTTGACATCGCTCACTACCAGCCTTTACGCGGAGGCTCATACCTTCTTCTTCCCACTGCGATCAAGAATAAGAAGGTCATCTTCAACGTGAAAAACAAAGACGACGACTGCCTCCGCTGGTCTCTAAGGGCTGCGCTGTTTCCTGCGACTAAAGACCCGCAACGGCCGGGCAAGTATCCCACTAAAAACGGCCTTGAATTTGCGGGGGTGAGTGCACCCACACCGCTCTCCCAGCTCGAACTAGTAGAGCGTCAGAACGACCTTGCTATCAAGGTGTTTGGTTGGGAAGGCGGCGTCATTCCTTGCCGCCTGAGTAAAGTAGAGAGAGCTCGCAAGACTGTGAATCTCTTCCTCGTCTCGGATTCTAAAAATCCTGAGAAAAACCACTACACTTGGATCAAGAACCTCAACCGCCTTCTCAACCGGGAAGCAAAGGACACCACCGGCTACCCTTCTGTGAGCATTGCCTTCACGGCTTTACCAGACAGGATTTGCTGGAAGAGCATAAGCCTGAATTTCGAGGCAACCATCAGAATGCCAACCCCCAGAAAAAATGACAAAATCACCTTTGAGAACTACCACAGCAGCTCAACCTTCCTTCATAATCTACGCTGACTTTGAGAGCCTGGTCTTTAAATTCGAGGCAAACCCAGCAAACCAAGAGGCACGAGGCATGCGGCTACTCGTACATAGTCGTTCGTTCCGACGGGGAAACGCAGCCACCGCAGCTCTACCGAGTGCCTAACGCAGCCAAGCATTTCCTGTATGCGCTCCAAGAAGAAGATTGTAAGATCAAGGCGGTGTTGACTAACTCCGAGCGTATGCACATGACAGGAAAGCACTGGGGTAGCCACAAGAAAGCCACAACCTGCCACGTTTGCAGCAAGCTCCTCAAAGACGACTCCGGTTGAGACCACTGCTACATTACTGGCAAGTACCGAGGTGCGGCCCACAATGAATGCAACCTCAAGTTGCACAACCTGCGGGGCTACGACAGCCATCTCATCGTGCAGACCATCGCAGAGACTGAAGGGGAGGTCAGCTGCATCCTCAACAACGCTGAGAAATACATCTCGTTCAGTATCGGCCATCTTTGATTCATCGACAGCGCCCAGTTTATGCTCTTATGTCTGGATACATTGGTGGAAGCCAGCGATCTGCAAGACATGCGCATCACAGTAGGCTTCGAGCCAAACCTCCAGAGGTGTACCCTACTGCTCGGCAAGGGGTATACCCCTATGAGTATATGGACGGCTGGTCCAGATTCAACGAGGGTTCCCTCGTGCCGAGGGAGGCTTTCTACAGCAAACTCTCCGTTGAAGGCATTACCGATGACGATTATGCCCATGGAAAAAAGGTCTGGGACGCCTTCGTCTGCACATTCCTCGGCGACTACCACGATCTCTACCTTTAGACCGATGTTATCCTCCTCACCGACGTCTTCGAGAACTTCCAAAAACTGTGCCTCGAGCAATACAAGCTAGACCCGGCCTACTCTTATTCGAGCCCGGGTCTGAGCTGGGACGCTCTCCTGAAGCACACGGGGATGGAGCTCGAGCTGCTCACTGACATAGATATGCATCTCGTCATTGAGAAGGGCCTGCGCGGCGGCATCAGCATGACCAGCAGGTGCTTCACCAAAGCCAACAACCCTAAGGTGCCAGACTACGATCCAGGGAAGCCAAAAAGCTAGATCCAGTACTTTCTCGGGGGCAGTCACTCGGTACGACTAGGACTGTTTATGGTTTGGGTTTGCTTTTGATGGCCGATCTCCAAGCAACTCTGTTGCACAAAAAAGCTGTATCCTGTAGTACGACACCAACAACCAGTACGGCTGGGCAATGTCGTAGTCACTACCCACAGACGCGTTCGAGTGGGTCGACCAAGAGGATGCAAAGGCAGCCCTGGAACAGTCTGTGGATGTAGAGAAGGACTACATTCTCGAAGTCGATCTGGAGTACCCAGAAGAGCTGCATGACGAGCACAAGGCATATCAGTCGACGCCAGAACGCCTGAAGGTCGACAACGCGTGGATGTCGGATTACCAGCAAAGTATCCTTAAAGACTTGTATGGGGGTGCGTCTCACGAGGTCGAAAAGCTGGTCTCCAATCTGCGCGACAAGACCCATACGTCCTGCACAATCGGAATCTGCAGCTCTATCTGCAGCTTGGCATGCGCCTGAAAAAGATCCACAGGGCGCTCCGCTTCGATCAAAACCCATGGATGGAGCCCTACACCCAGAAGAACACCAAACTCCGGAAGAAGGCAAAGAGTGACTTTGAAGTCAACCTCTACAAGCTGCTGATCAACAGCGTCTTCGGCAAGACGATGGAGAACCTCCGAAAGTGTGTTGATGTGAAGCTGCTCCGGCCAAGCGAGACCGAAAGACTCCGCAAACTTATCGCCAAGCCGACATTCAATCGGCATCTCATCTTTGGCGTAGCGGTAGACCTCGTAGCTGATGTCAAACTTATGTCGGGGGATAGCACTTCGCGCAGGTGCGGGCAAGTAGATCTGCCAGATAGCCTGTTTTGTTAGCCATTCATGAGCCACATCCTCGCCGACGTCAACCTCTTTAGCCAGCTTTGGGATAGCAGCACGGCCGTGCCAGTACCCCGCAGGACTGTAGTACACCTCTGCGAGACATTCCTCAACACTTCGTCCGTCCGTTTGGTAAAAACGCGACCATGCTTTGTCGGAACGACGGCTTTGACACTACGTCAAAGCAGCCGCCCCGCTGGGACAACATGGCGCCTGCAGATAGCCCTTTCTCGACTCTGCACTGCAAACGTATTCGTAACCATGACTCGCTCGGGAAAGGCGTTCAGAAAATATTTGCGCAGCTGGGGCTCTGTATATGCTTCCTCTATTTTAGCAAGCGCACGTCCAAAGCTATCGAAGACAAGCACATGCGTTCCAGTACAACAAACAGTTAGCCAGTGGTTCCCCCCTTCGTCCGGATCATGGAGAGGGTCGATGTTGTCCGTGTTGCTGATGCAAAACTGCCCATTGTGGAGATGTGGTAGGCTGTCGTAGCTAACAAACCGTCATCGGGCTCGCTCGGCCTTCATGAGGCATTCGATGTGAATGCTCGGGTAAGGATAATCCATTCCTTATACTGAGCACAGCGGGAGGCTGTTGGGAGCAGACACAGAATAATCCCTTACGCGAAGAATGCTGCTATCCCGTTCGCCCTCAGTACGCTCATCTTGCTAGTGGACAACGTCGTTGACAGTATCTTCGGCGCGGGCATTTTTAACGGCAACATGTCTCCCCCTCCGACGACTACCGCATGAAATATGTGCCATCCCGTGAGCAGACGACGAGCGGTGCG